GGCCACCTTTTCTTTTTTGGACTTTAAGCCTGCCACATTTTCTAGTATTCTACTATGCATTTTCTAGTGTGGGAAAATGGTAGGGGGGGATTGTACGGAGTGAGATGATATGTAGCCATAACAACATTCTTTCTAGAAAGCCAAGGTCATCCTTTGTCTTTGCACCTCTGCACCTGGCCGGAACTGGATGGGTGGAAGCTGCCAGTGTGGCAGTGAAAGATTGGGCCATGTGATGGACTTGTGGGTGTGGGGGCAAGATCTTGAACTTTCAACTGGGTGGGGAAAACCGGGAAGCTTTCAGATTTGGGTCTTCCCAGATGTAGCAATGTGGCTCTCTTAATAAATTGTAACTTTGAGCAATACTTTGCCTTGGACTCTGATTTACTTTTGGATGCTATTTGGAACCCTGACAGTTAGTTTTATCCTCTCACAATTTCAATATAGGTAGGCCTTGACTTACAACCTTTTGCTTAGTGACCATTTGAAGTTACGACCGCATTGAAAAAAGTGACTTGTGACCAGTTTTCACACTTACAACCTTTGCAGCATCCCCACGGTCACGTCATGAAAATTCATATGCTTGGCAACTGACTCATATTTATGAGTTTTGGTCGTCACGATATGAAAAAGATGTTGAGACTCTAGAAAGAGTGCAGACAAGAGCAACAAAGATGATTAGGGGACTGGAGGCTAAAATCTATGAAGAATGGCTGCTGGAATTGGGTATGCTGTCAGCAAGGTAAGAAGGCTTTAAAGTCACCCACTGTCTGATGATCCTGCTCTCTGCCATGGTGGGCCTCTGAAACTAAGTTATACGTCAGAGTTTAGATCCTCAAGAGAAGACCAGCTTGGCTTACAACTTGTGTACAATCTGGTCAGTCAAGGGCAGGATTGGTAATTACAGGTAGTCCCTGCTTAATGATAAAAAAAGATGTTGAGATTCTAGAAAGAGTGCAGAAAACAGCAACAGAGATGATTAGGGGACTGGAGGCAAAACATAGGAAGAACGGTTGCAGGAACTGGGTATGTCTAATTTAATGAAAAGAAGGACTAGGGGAGACATGATAGCAGTCTTCCAATATCTCAGGGGTTGCCATAAGAAGGGGTTGCCATAAGAAGAAGGAGTCAAACTATTCTCCAAAGCACCTGAGGGTAGGACAAGAAGCAATGGGTGGAAATTGATCAAGGAGAGAAGCAACTTAGAACTGAGGACAGTTAGAACAATTAATCAGTGGAACAACTTGCCTCCAGAAGTGGTGAATGCTCCAACACTGGAAGTTTTAAAGAATAGATTGGACGGCCATTTGTCTAAAATGGTATAGAGTCTCCTGGTTGAGCAGAGGGTTGGACTAGAAGACCTCCAAGGTCTATTCTTATTCCTATTCCATTCCATTCTATTCTACGGTTGTAGCATCCCAAAATCACAGGATCCACTATTTGACAATCAAAATCATCGAGGGAAGCTTTATTCTCTTAACAACAGTGTGATTCGCTTAGCAATTAAAGTGATCTGCTTAACAACTGTGGCAAGATCGGTCGTAAGATGAGGCAAAATCCCCTTAACCAATGTCTCGTTTAGCAACAGAAAACTGGGGCTCAGTTGTGATCATAAGTCGGCGAAAGAAAGGGTGTATGGAGGGTCGAAGAGGTACATTGGGTTTCTATTTTTGGGGGTATTATTGACAAGAGGAAT